GAACAGGCAATGCTCTTAACCACTGAGCCATCTCTCCAGCCCCTGCAGTGGTTCTTATAGGATCTAAGTAACACCAGTTAAGGGTACCATACCACTTACAGTCCCATGTTTCCTTCTCCCTCAGCATCCTATAATATTCCAGAAGCTATTGGTTCAGTCTTACAGGTAGTACAACCTGCTTTTAGGACCAGATGTGCGTGGATGTGGAGGCCAGAGGTTTGATGTTGAATGTCTTCAGTTGCTCTCCATCTTAGTTTTTGAGACCAGGGTTTCTCTTTGAACCTGGGGCTTGATTGGGGCGGTTGTCCGGTCAGCGATCACCAGAGATCTTGTTTCTCTGTCCCCAGTCCTGGGATGACAGGTGCACAGTGCCAAACCCAGCTTCTTACATGGGTGCAAGGGCTCTGAATCCAGGTTCTCATGCTTGTGTAGCAAGCACGTTGCCAGCAGATCCACCTCCCTCCCTTCTGATCTAACACTCAGTACACACTACATGCAGTCTGTTGGGTGTTATTTTCTTCCCCTTCTTTCATTTTTTTTTAAATTTACATATATGAGTGCTCTATCTGCATGTACCACTTTATGCCAGAAGAGGGCATCAGAACCCACTGTAAATGGTTGTGAACCACTATGTGGTTGCTGGAAATTGAACTGGAGCATCCAGTGAACTTAATAGCAGAGCCATCCCTACGGCCCCATGTGTTGTTTCCTTTACCAAAGATATCTCTGGTACCACAGGATCTACCAAACCATGTGGCCCAGGTGGCTAATTCCTTTACATCTGTCAGCTGCTAGCATCCTTGCTTACTGTGCATCAAGGCTTAGATCTGAGCCCTAGTACCTCATACACTAGGTGGATTAGTTGCTGCTGTTGTCCCCTGGGAAGTAACAATGTCTACTCCTTCTCCTGAGGCCCCAACTTTGTTTTTTTCAAAGTTTACCTACCCAGTAGAGAGTCAATAGGTTTTTTTGTTTGTTTGTTTGTTTAGCCTTACTTACAGGCAGGAGTATGGGAGACCTTAAAGTATGCACCCTGGAAAGTCTGCACCCAGCTGGAATGATAACTTCGCTTTCCCCACGGAAGCCCTTCCCCTCATCTTTTTCCACCTACTTGTTCTAGCCCCTCCCAGAGACTCAGGCCACAAGCAATTAGGGCAGAACTGGAGACAACTGGTTGGGAGGCGTGGCTAGTCAGGTGAGGGTAATGACCCTTCCTCTCCCTTCCTTCTGAGAGGGAACGTTTACCAGTCCAACAAGCTCGGTTGTAAGACCCCTGAAGATGGCAACAGTTTGGCTCAGAGGATACCTTTGTACAACAGCGACGCTGGCCTGAAATCTCAGTACCCAGCTGGCAGAGGTGAGAGGAGCAGAAAGGCAAGGTCCTATTCAGCATAGTGGTTTAAATAAGAATGTTCCCTAGTCTCAAAACTCTGACCACTTGGTCCCTAGTTAGTGGTGCTCCTTGGGGAGGCTCAGGAGCCTTGCCAGATGAATTATATTACTGGAGGCAGGCTTTGACCACTTGCCACTTCCTGTTCACTCTGCTTCCTGCCTTCTGGAAGATGTGAACGCTCAGCTTCCTGCTCCTGCCCCAATGCCTGCCTCTTCCTGCCATGCTTGGATTCTTATCTTTCTGGAAAGGTAAGGCCAAGCGAACCCTGTCTTCTATGAGTTGCTTTTAGCAACCGAAAAGGAATGAAAGCAAGGAATTCAAGACCAGCCTGGGTTAGAGACCTGGCCTTTAAGAAAAGGGGGTGGTGGTAGTGGTGATTATCTATCGGCCTGTCCTCACTGTGTTTTAGCCTCCCGAGTTTGATTCTGTCCGGGCTTCATAGACCTGGCCTGGTTGGACATTGGCTGGTTGGTAGTTAGCTAGTTTTACCACCGGAGTCCACACTTGACCTTTAGATTTTTCTGCTTGGCTCCTCCACGGGGGGGGGGGGGGGGGGGGGGGGGGGGGGGGGGGGGGGGGGGGAGGACTTGCAATAATTGATTTTGGGTGTGCATCAGTGCCTGTGCTACGTCTGCAAGTTCATGTGTGTACATGCATGTGGAAACCAGAAGCCCGTGTTGTTCTTCAAGTATTGTCATCTTAACTTGTGAGACGGTGGCTCCCATTGGCCTGAAACCCACGAAGTAGACTAAGCTGACTGGCCATGCCGCAGCAATCTCTTCTCCCCAAACCCACCTCCTCATCAGTAGGCGTGCGAGAGTGAAGCGCCACACCCAGAAATTGTAAGTGGTTCTCAGAATTGACCTCAGGTCCTTGGGATTTTTGTTTGTTTCTTTGTTTCTTGAGGTGCTGGGGGAAGGGCCTAGGCACTGGTATATAGTTGCCAACTTGACATACCTGGGAAGAGGCAACCTTAATTGGAAAGTTGCCTGCATCGAATTGATCTGTGGGCATGCCTCTGAGGACAGTTTCTTGGTTGCTAGTTGAGCTGATCTAGGAAGGCCCAGCCTACCATGAGCAGTGCCAACTCTGGGCAGGTGAGCCTGGGCTGTACAAGAATGGGAGCTGAGCCAGCTAGGAGTGGCAGCAAGTGTTCCTCCATGATTTCTGCTTTATGTTCCTGCTTTGGGTCCCTCCCTTGGCCCATCTGAAGGTGAATCTCTGCCACAACTCCAAACTTCAGAAAAGAAGTGGCCATTCTCGGGTCACAGTAACAAGCCACAAGTAGGATCGATGCCAACCTCACATAAGTACACCACTTTGCAAACAGGCCACTCAGCAGCGTCCCAGCCCTGGTAGCTGCACCTCTTCAGCTACGCAGCTCAATCCATAAATGCTTTGGAAAGCCCTTTAATCCCTGGACTCTAGGTTTTCCCAAAACCCTACGTGAGGTCAGCAGTTTTCTTTATCCAAAGAACTGGTGCCCCAGAAGCTGGTCCATTCAGCAAGCAGCATGTACAGCATGTTAGTGTGGGCACTGAACGCAGCCTCTTCCTTTGCCACTGTCGCATCTACCCAGGGTGCATGCTCTGGTCCCTGGTGTTATCATCCTCATCTCTCAGGGCTCTCCTTCAGGAAGACCTTCCCTGGCCATGCTGTGAGACACATAGTCTTCCATGTCTCACGGGCTCACTTCAACTCACTCTCTCTCTCTCTCTCTCTCTCTCTCTCTCTCTCTCTCTCTCTCTCTCTCTCTCTCTCTCTCTCTCTCTCTCTCTCTCTCTCTGTCTCTGTTTTTTTGAGGCCAAGTCCCTCATTGCTTAGAACTCACCAAATAGCTTAGTGGCTGGCCAGAGAACACTAAGGATCTGCCCGTCTCCAATTCTCCAGCACTGAGCTTCCAAGAGCATACCACCACTACATCCAGCTCCCCCCCCCCATTTGTCTGGCTTCATTTTAATGTGAACATTGTATGGAGGTCCTCCTTTTTCTAGAGCAAACACTTTACTGATGGAACTCTCTCTCTGGCAACCCTCATCTCACTTCTTGATAGCACATGCCATAATTCCAAGTCATCTTATTTCACTGAACTTCCTCACTGTCTAGGAATCAAAGTCCCTTCAGACAGGGCCCCCTTCGGGAAATCCACTGGGTTTTTAGCAGGCAGCTGGACTCAGTAGATAAAGGAACCATGTTAATGAATAGCAAGTCAATGATGAGGAACCATGAGCATTGTCCCCAGCAACAGTCCATACTGATCTGAACCATGGAAATAAATGCCATGTGACGGAACTGCTTGGGTGTTGGGACGAGGCAGATTGGAGATTTTTAAGAAGCTAAGTAGTGACTGTAAAGAGATGAATGAACGCTATGAGTTTGAGTGAATTCTTGTCAATGAAATATCTTCTCAAAAACTCACCTCACCTGTGAAGACACAGATGACTGTGTGGAAGGCAAAGGGTACATGGGACCGGCCACCTTAATTCCTGAGATGTGGCCTTATGGCCCAAAGCTCCAAGGACACCTTTGGTCACTCTTTCCAAGGCAACTAGAGAAAGAGACAAGGTGGTAGGGGTACTAAGAGCAATCAAGCCAGGAGCTGTCCTACATGAGAGTCAAGGAAAAAGTGGGATTTCTTGTTGGGGAATCAGATTTCCAAACTCAGAGTCCATTCTGGGTGCAGCTATTGGAGGCACTGAGTTTGCAGAGAAGACAGGATCTTGTTCATGGAGCAAAACTAGACCAACAGCAGAAAGGAAGGCTACGACTTAAAAAAAAAAAAAGTCCCATTGAGAAGAAAAGACACAAGAAGAAATGTTAGCACAAAAGAAGCTACACAGTCAGGGTCAGCCATGAAATTAACCAATTCGCTGTTGCGAAAAATAAATGCTGTCTGGATCTAGCAATTTATGGTTGAAATGGTTTTAGCTTCTAAAGGAAGAAAAGAGGAAAATGGAATATGCTGAGCTTGAATGGGAGCAAAACACAGGTTTTTTCAAAAAACATTTTTTCATTTTAGCCATCAGAAATGGGTTCCTCTCATTTAAAATGGAAATTATGCATGTTTCATACAGGACTGCAGGTTAAATACTAGAAATATTTGCCTCCTAACAGCAGAAGTTAGTACTGTGGACTTTTGTCAATAGGAGAGACTAAAGGCGTCCCCCAGCTAGTGAGCATATATATCCATGCTATAAAAGTCATTCCTTTTTGGCAAGCATAGATATGTAAGGTATTAATAAATTCAACATGCAACTCAAGGAAATAATGCCGAGAATTAAAGAAATTACAGATTTTCATATCTGTAGTCACTTAAAAAACAGAAATATAGCTTGTTTTGTATAAAAAATGATGGTGTCAAAGGTTTCTGTGCAAGCTCAGTTGGCCTGGTGAGGAATGAAAGAACCAGGTCAACGTGTGTCCCTACAGTTTTGTCTGGGGGAACTTACTTAAGAGTGCCGTGCCTCAGTTTCCCCTTCTATAAAATACTTATACTCACATGTAGATTATTCTGCAGTTTGACTGTGAGGATTCAGAGAAAGCATTCAGAATAAACTACGTAAAAACCAGCGACTATGGGGGCATTTCGTGGTCTAGAGCAGTGCTTCTCAACCTACGTATGGGTCAGGACAACGCCGACAAAAACTCTATCTCCAAAAGTATTTATATTATGATTCCTAAATGTAGTAAAATGACAGCTATGAAGTAGCAACGAAAATAATTTCATGGTTGGGGGTGGTCACCACAACACAGCAGCATGAGGAGGGGTTGAGAACACTGCTCTACTGGAGAGTTTAATTTTACAAAGATACCTTCTGACGGTCAAGTTAAATCTCCTACATTGTCTAGCCGCATCCAATCTACTGGCGCCTCAGCCTCCTCTGTGACTATTTCTCCGGAAGCGACTGTACATCTCTGCTTACACAGTCAATGAGAAGTAAGAGCCGTGCCACTTGTGAGCCGATTTAATTACCAGGACATCCCCGAGACCTAACCTACTTTACCCCTGCTCTGAAAGCCAGCATCCCAGCAGCCTACACTGGAGTGAGACAGCGGCCAGGAACAGGAAGGTGATTTGATCTTCCCAACATGAGACCTGACAGCACAGGGGAGCAAGACTTTCCAACCTCCTTGACTTCCAACCCACACTGGAAAGAGGAAGAATTCCCTTCAAACCTCTAGAGAGACTACATGAAATACTTGAAAAAAATTCAAGTGAATACTAAAATTAGGTATTTGTGTGTATTTTTTCAGGAAGCAAACCTGTCAGGTAGCAGAGGAAGTCCCACCACTTCATCAATTTATTTTCTATCTCTAAATTTTGTCAGCACTTTAAGGTAAGAGTTTTCTTTATGCAGGGACCAGTAGCTGGACCAGGACAAAGACTCAACAGAAAAACATAATAGTGGCAGCAGAAAGAGATATTTTTGTATCCAACATAATTTTATTTCTACACAGGGCAAATCTTTAATGTTTTTTTTTCTTTTTTGCTATTACATGGAAGTTAGAGCATTCAAATGTCATAAATACAAACAGAAGAAGGCAACTTGATAATGATCGTGTGAATAGGAAGAAAATGGCATGGCATTGCCCTGGATCCTCATAGAGATAGAGGCCATCTAACCTATGACCCATTTACAAATTTGTCTTGATATACCCTGTACTTAAATAAAGCTTCTCAAAAGGCACACTGGAAATAGGCATGATTCGGGATGGTGTCTAGGGCAAGACACCCTAGAATAGCGGTTCTCAATCTGTGAGCTGCGACCCCTTTGTGTGTGGGGGTGGGGGGGGGTCACATATCAGATATCCTGTAGATCAAGTATTTACATTATGAAGACACTAGATATTTCACTTACGATGCTGCTGATGTCTGCATTCGACAGAAGTTCTGCCCCTGGCTGTGATCTTCATTTTCTTATTCGTTTTCCTGGGAGGGCTCGTTTTTCTGAATCAGCCACACCTCGTTATTTCTATCAAGTAACTGGAACGGACTGCTGTAGCTAGCAGTATAAAAGACCTTTTCATTGAAAACCTTTCCTTCTTCCCTCAAAATGTTTGCTAATGTCAAAAGTTGTTCTTGATTCTTTTGGCCACTGGAGAATCCATCAAAGGACCTACAGGGGAGAAAGTGACTGGGCATGAGTGGTTTTACTATGGATACCAATGCTAATCTGAGATGAACAGCAGGGTCTGGTACCCTCAAAGCTGCAGGAAGTGGCCTCCAGGCAGCCACTGACCTGCACGGCTAGGCTCATGAGGTTCACCTAGGAGAGGCCCAGGAACACTCATAAGTCCCATCCATTGACTTATTTGGAACTCGCATCTTCTTGTGTGGACTAACATATACAAAAGTTACCCTCAGACCCTATTAAAATGTACATTGAAGGTGTGTTGGAGAGGGCCCAAGTGCATTACTAGGAACTTCCCAGAAACAAACTGATGCTTCAACTTAAAGAACCACACAGAAGCTCTCCCAGACAATCCTCTTCCACACTCCAAGTCCCTCATCTCCCTCCAACCCCTCTCTCTCCCTTCCTTCTTTCCCTCTTACATGCAACGTAGGCTACCCTGAAAGTCACTATACATCAGGGAGTTTTGCTATATAGCTCAGGCAACCCTTAGAGGCATTACGTTGTTGTGGGATATGTGTACACTGGGTGAAGATGTATTTGCTGTGATTGGTGTAATAAAGAGCTGAACAACCAATCGCTAGGCAGGAGAGACAGGTGGGACTTCTGGGGGGAGAGAAGGGAAGGGGAAGAGATGACAGAGGCGCAGGGGAGATGCCAGGAGACATGGACAGAAAATGGGAGGTACAAGATGAAAGAAAGGTTAAAAAAAAAACCCTAAATTAATAGGTAAAACATAGATAAAACAGGTAAACTTAAGTTCTAAGTGTTAGTGGGACAAGCCCAAGCTAAGGCCAAGCTTTCATAATTAATAATATGTTTCCATGTCATTTGTGAGTTGGTGGCCCAAAGAAAAATCTGACTACACTATGTCGTCAGGACTAACTTCAAGTTCATGATCTTTATAACTCAGCCACCCCAATGCTAGCTTTATGGAGAGTGCCATCAAGCTGGACTTCCTTGCGTTTGTTTCTTTGTTCTGTTGTTGTTGCTGCATACTATGAGATGGAGTCTTAGTTGCTCAGGCTGTGTCAGAACTCCCAGGTTTAAGTTAACTCCTGCCTCTGCCTCCCAAGTACCTGGGACTACAAGAGTGTGTCAACAGACCCAATTCAGACACTCAGTCAAATGCTGCTTTCGCCTTTTCCTCTTCTGGAGCACAGAGAACACAATGGATTATAGATGAATACAATATAATGTGGATGTTTACGCTTTTGTAGCCAAATGAAAGAGATCAACATTTTCACAGCATTATCTGAATATCCTGAGAAAGTATTTTAACAGAGATAGGACCAAAGGGCTCTAGGAATACTTGGGATTGGGACCAGTCCAGGCCAAGAGGTGTCTTCTGAGTTGGTCTTAGAATGAAGAATGGCTTTCCTGATCAAAGGAAGGACAAAGGAAAGGCACCGTCACAGGACAGCATAAAATGAGGTCCAGAAGGAGCTCTGAAGCCAGAAGCAAGGCCTTTGTATATTAGCCTATGACCTTCCGGGACTATGCTACACGATGCTGAGTAGAGAAACCTGATGAGATCTGAGTAAGAACGTAGGCCGAGAGACAGGACAAGAGGGAACCGCTACAAGAACAGGAAGGGAAAGAAGATAAAGTTTAGTCAACCACATAAACAAAAGTACCCCCCCAGATGAAGTCACCGCAGCACATGGACATGCTGAAGTTCAGGACATGTAAGGATAGTGGGTTTTACTTAGAAGGTGAAAAATGAGAAACAGAGTATTTTTAATATGCTTCATTGGCATATGTTTTCTTAGAAATATGCCAATGCAAAAACAAAAACCAACCAAACCAAGAGAACCGGTCTGGCAGCCTCAGCTCAAACATAATCCTTCAAAGAAGAGCAAAGACCATGTCTATTCTAGTCAACAATGTCTCCCCATACCGAGAGGCACACTGGCAGATGGCAATAGCAAGGGCTGGGCCACCATAGACAGTCCCCACTCTAGCTATACCTCATACAACTGTGGGAGGGGGCACAGCCCATCATCTTAGAGGAGTGACAGGTATGTGATTGTAGCCTGGTAGAAGCTACGGGGAGGTGATGCTAAAACAGTGGTCCTCAGCCTTCCTAATGCTGTGACCCTTGAATACAGTTCCTTATGTTGACGTGTCCCCCACCATAAAATTATTTTGCTGCTACTTCATAACTATAATTTTGCTATTGTTATAAATTGTGAATATCTGATATGCAGGATTTCTGATATGTGACCCCCCCCCCCCGCCCCTTGCACAAAGGGGTTGTGACTCACAGGTTGAGAATCACTACTGCTCTACACCATGACAACTTAGCTGGGCTTGGGAGCACCCAAACTCATGGGATACAGCTGTATGGGGCATCAAGGGCCTAATCCTTGTCCAGCAAAGCTTTGGAGGTCCAGCCTCCAGTCCAATGAACCTGAGGGGCAAAGCCTTGCAAAAAAGAGATTAAAGTTTTGAGATTTGGGTCTTGAGGCCCATTACTAGTTCCCCATATGGGATGCGGATGTCTCTCCCATGTATGCCACAGTGTTGTTGTGCCTTGGAGCCCCATAGCTTGTTTGACTTAAGAGGCCAACAGCTGGTGAGAATTTGCTTCGGGATGAATCATGCCTTGTGTCTCAGCCAGATTTCATTTGGATGATATTTAAATGAGTCTTCTGAGTCAGTGCTGAAATGAGCTAAGATTCTGGTGTTGCAGGATATTTGTTTACTCTGTGTGAAGATGTGTCACTGTGACTGGCTTAATAAAGAGCTAAACCGCCAAGAGCTAAGCAGGAGAGAACAGGCAGGAGTTTAGGAGAGATGCGAGCAAGATACTGAAGAAGTTGGATGGACATACGGTAACGAGGAGAGCCACATGGCAGAAGGCAGATTAATATAGAGACAAGTTCATTGAAGTTGTAGGAACTAGCTGGGGAAAAGCCTACGCTAAGGCCAAGCTTTCATAATTAATAATAAGTGTCTATGTTATTTGTGAGCTGGTGGCCCAAAGGAAAGTCTGACTCCATACTGAGTTAATGGAATGGAACCGAATGCATTTTATATGAGAAAGACACAAAGTTCATGTGCTCGGGGCAGAAGGCTGTGGACTGAATGTCTGGATCTCTCAAAAATTCATACTGAACTCCTAATCACAAACGTGATGGTTTTAAGAGCTTGTGGAGGGTGATTAGGTCATGGGGGTTGAACCCTCATGAAAAGGAACATTACCCTTACAAAGGGGTCCCAAGGTGCTGATATGAACCAGAGAACGGTCCCTAGCCAGTCACTAAAACTCTCAGCGCCTTGAACTTGAACCCAGCTTTTAGAAAGAACTACAAAACACAAATGTATGTTTGTTATAAGTTACAGTATTTGTTATAAGTCTATAATATTTGTTGTGGCAGCTCAAAAAGACTAAGAAAACATCATATACTGTTTTTTTTTTTGAAGGTATTAGTGTTCAGGTCTACCTAGATTATGGGAAAGGTGGCCCTATGCTCTAGGTGATATAATTTGTGCTATGTTTTATATGGAAGGTATATAACAGACTTCTCAATAAATAGACCGTATCTTGCAGTAGACCATAGTGACATTTTAAAACCGAGCCAGTAGGAAAACACCATGAATGCATTAGGCTGTGCTTACGGAAGGGCGAAAAGCCTGCTGAAATTGCTTAGGGGGCAAATGCCGAGTGCACACGGGTGAATCAGGCTCGTGGTCAGCGGGCCCTGAGTTATCCACCACTTACCGCACAAACACAGTCATCCCAGCTCTGTCTTCAATAAAGACATCTGACTCGGAAGGCCTGGGGGGATCGGATTGCTGCTCGGAGGGGACGCACAGGGAAATGGTAATGGTAGACTCGCTGAAAGGACTTGAGCCGGGCTCCACGTAGCTCGTCACTGGAGCGGTCAGCTTCATTTTCATCTCTGCAGCATGGAAAGGGAAATCACCTTCAGTGTGTTGATGGCTAATTTGAATTTTAAAAGCTATCTTTATGTGAATTTTTTTGGACTTGCTTTATATCACCAATATAAATATGTCCCCTTGAGATATTATTAGTGACACTTGCCACCTAGGTAAGAATTTCTCCCTAGTCACAGAATCCCCCCCTCCCCCATTTCATCCAACAAAAATTGGGGACGAATAGAATTAAAAGGTAGACCCCAGCAGCACCTTCCTCCAGCTACACTAAGCTTCCTGAGACCAATCGCATACAGTAACATGAGGTTTCCAATGGTCTGGTTATTCATCTATTACAAACGAGGATTTCTTTGCTACGTTTAAACTTAATAGCCTGAGGATCGCAGCGGGTACTTTTACCTTTCTCATTTTTGCCTTGAATGTAGCCATTCAGTTTTGTGAAGCCAGTCTGGATGGCTGAATCCCAGTCCATAGACTCCACACAAGTGCTGACCCACTTGGCTGGTCCGTAGTGTCGGATCTCATAACTTCCGGGCTGAAATGGAACGGAAAAAACTTTCAGTAGCAACTCCTGGGCATCGGGAGGTGAGAGATAGCAATACAGGCAGCCTTAATCCCTAGTCTACCAGAAGACTGCTGGCCAAGGAACTGCTGGGGCCTCTAGGTCTAGCCTGAGATTCCAGTCTTTAAGAAGGGCCTCTCTGGAGAACTCCGATGGGATGGGGTAGCTGATATCGCCCTGAGGCCATGTTAAATGAAGCAAGCATCTCTTATATAGAAGTACTGGGTCTGCATAATAACCAGTTCCTCTCCACTTTCCCCACCTCAGACAGGAAGTGGAGGCATGACTCTCACGAGGGGGGGCGGGGGGGAGTGGTGGTGGTAAACAAAAGCATCTCCTGCCGGGTTTATGCAGGCTCTAAAATAGCACTTTTTACTTAGCTCTATGGGACTCTTCAAACTCACGATAAAGTAGCCCAGAAGCAACCTTTGCGGGCCCTGGAAAACACCTACCTGTGGGTCTGTGTCCTCTGGAGACTTCCAGCCTGGCATCTCCACTGCAGGCTCCACTGCATCCTCGGCCGCCCCCAGGTCTGGCTCTGGCTCCTCGGCCATGGGTAGGGACAGCTCGCTAGGGGCTCGCTCCTGGGTCGCCCTGTTTGTGTGCACTAGTCACCTTGTCCCGAGTCCCCGCCCCTCCGGTGCACCGCCTAGCACCCCTTATGGTGGGTCCACAAAGCCGCGAGGGGGCGTGGTGATCCCAGAGGGAGTCAAGTCCACACTCCACCCATGCGCCAGTCCTGGCCACGCCCCTCCACCGGGATCGGAGGAAGGGCCAGGATCCGCCAACTGGCCTGTCATCATCCGGCTCTTCTGCAGCGTCTCCGCCGCCCAGGTCTTCCTTTTGCAATGCCCAGCGGTGGGTAGCAGTGGGCGGAGACCTGAGCAACTGCTATTAGGTTTCTGTGGAACTGGTCTGGGCGCCTCTCCAAAGGCGGCAGACAGACGAGGTCAGCTCCTCTGCAAAACCGGTTTCCTCCTGGCCATAGTAGGGTACCACCTGCCCCTCCGGAGCCACTTCCCAGCAGCCAGAGCTCAGAGAATACCAGGAACTGGCATTAGTGACTCTTCAGACTTGGAGTCCAAACCCAGATCAACTGCCCCATTTACACCTGAAAGGCAGCCAGGGTCCCCAGTTTTCAGGGCTGCTTATTGTACAAAGTCAGTGGAAACCCAGAGTCGTTGGGAGGAGTCTTGGGCTATCTGCTTCCTTGACCCTTTCCAGAAATGACCTGAAGCCTCATCAGCACTTGAGGGTGGGCCAGAGCACACAACAGTGCTTCTTAGATACTTTACTTAGGGTTCTTACTTTTTCCAAAAGATTTGTTGAAATAAATTCATATACAATTCATCGCTCTTTTTTGAAACTTTTATACCTGTACACAATATATGTCGGTCATATCCATCTTTTTCTCTCTACCCATCAACTCCCTCAAAGATTCATCCCATCACACCTTCCTTCCAACTTCAAATGGTGTTTATCATTTATTTAGCCCACGGAATTCAACTAGTGCTATTTGCATGCACTGGGGTAGAAGTTGCCCTCTGAGGCACTGGGAACCTACCCATGCCCACACTCCTAAGAGAAACGAATTTCCATGTCCCAGCAGCCAGTAACAGATGCAGCTCTTGGGGGTAGGGACCCAGAGGTCCTCCTTCCTCATGTATTACATGTATATGTATTAATTTACCCCTACTAGTCAATGAACCAGACACGATGGTGTTAGGAAAATTCCTAAGAGCCTCTCCGCCGACGCAAAATAACTCCAATTAGACCAAATTAAAAATGTCCACGTTTAATAAATGCTGCACTCTTGGGTGGACTGGGACAGCAAAGTGGGAAGAAGAGCCCAGGCAAACCAAGCCATGTCTTCCTATTTCAGGTGGGAGCCTAAATAGCCAGTGGGAGTGGTCCTGATCCTCCCCAGGGAGGGGTCAGCGCAAGGCAGACTGGGAGTTGGAGTCCAACCCTGGCAACTCCCAGGCCAGGGGCTGGGGTGATGCTTCCAAACATTCCAGACTTCTTGGATATAGGAGTGTTAGAGGGTGGGGGGGGTCTCACTTCCAATAAAACAGGTGGTGTACCCCACAATCCCAGCACTATGGTTTGGAAGCAGGAAGTTCAGGAATTCTAAGTGACTCTTGACGAGACACCAAGTTTGAAGCCACTGTACCCCCCGCCCCCATTGGCTTTGTGAGAATGCCTCAGAAACAGAAAGTCAATAATAATAATAAAGTGGACTACTTAATGGCTTTTAAGTGTATTTATGGAGTTATGCAACCATTACAACGCTAGGACAATTTTTAAAAAGCAACCCCCTACCTCAGCCTTTAGCCTCACTCAACCCTGTGCTAAATTAGCTTTTTTGTTGTTGTTGCTGTTTTGTTTTTGTTTGTTTTTAAATTGTCAATTTGGCATAAACTAGGGTCATATGGAAAGAGGGAGCTTAAACTGTAAAAATGTCCCCCATTAAATTGACTTGTAGGCAACTCCATGGGGGCATTTTGGCTGATTAATGGTTAGTGTGGGAGGGCCCAACCCCCTGTGGGTGGTACCACCCCAGGGCAAATGCCTCTGGAAAGTATAGAAAAGGTAACTGGGGCTGGGAGTGGTGGCATGCCTGGCATTAATCCCAGAACTCTATTGGGGGAAACAAAGGCAGATCTCTGTGAGTTTAGGCCCACCTGGTTTACCAAGTAAGGTCCAGCACAGCCAGGGCTATGTAGAGAGAACCTGTCTCAAAAACCCATTAGGTAAAAAAGAAAGAAAAGAAAGGTAGCTGAAGGTGAATCTGGGAGCAAGCAACGTTCTTCCATGGTCTCTGCTTCAATTCCTGCCCCCAGGTTGCTAGCTGCACTCAGTGTGGAAATGTAAGCCAAATAAACCCTTTCCTTCCCAAGTCACATTTGGGTAGTGTTTATCACAGAAGGCAAACGAGGACACTGACCCCCAACTCCTGGAGCCATCCTCTAAAACACTGCTAATTTCAGTTATCTTTGTTTGGATGTTTTGGTTGGAAACCCAAAGCCCTAAAAAACAAAACAAATAACAGATTTCCACCTGCACCTCCCATCCTGATAGGTGACTCTGGGTTTAGGTCATTTCTGGAAAACATCAAGGAACTAGGATGGTGTAAGTGTCTCTCAAAATCACCGAGTCCACACCTAACTCCTGGATACTTCATATGAGTAGAACCATGGCAGTGTGTTCTCCTGTGTGACTGACTTCCTTTGCTTAAAATGTTTTCAGGGTCCAGGCATGCTGTAGCATCACTCTTTTTCATGTTCAAATAATGCCCTTTATAAACGTTTTGTTTATCAATCAGTAGTTGGTAGTTATTTCTGTTGTTTCTGGGCTATTACGAACAATGGTGCCATCAGCATTTGTGCAGGGAGGGGCAGAGCGGAGGGAGAAGAGGGAGGAGGGAGGGAGGGAGGGAGGGAAAGAGAGAGAGACAGAGAGAGACAGAGAGAGAGAGAGAGAGAGAGAGAGAGAGAGAGAGAGAGAGAGAGAGAGAGA